CTTCTCCACCGCATCTTTATGACACTGTATTCCGCTGCCTGCTTTTTTTTTTTTTTTTAACCTTCTTTCCCTAGGATTTGTCCTCCAACTTAGCATTTGTGATTAACAGTTGATACTAGGGCTGACCGCACATGAGAAGTCACAAGAGAAGAGTGGAAGGGCAAGAATTCAGAGCATTCGTTCATACAATGTGGCAACCTCTTTTGCGTAGTGGCGTAGGATCCTGTTTGTAATGCTATCATAAATATTCTGTAGTTTTGTTTCCCCATTCCCCCAACTGGAGCTATGAAACTTATTGGATTCAGTCTTGTCTTTTGTCTAGAAAGAATTTTATCTTGTTGACGCATGAGCTGTTTAAAAATTATTCTATTAAATGTTGGTTAATAGTTGTGCAGTTTTTCTTTTCAGAAGAAGAGGCAATTCAAATGTTGCCTTTGTTTTCTGTCACCTTCCAACCCCCCCAGCACTTCTAGTCAGATACAGATTCATCAGTGTATGCAACATCCTTTGTAATTTAAAATAAAAAAAAAATGAAAAGGTTTTGAATTGTTTGCCTCATGTTTTCGCCCTTCCCTTCTCTGTTGCTTTTCTGTCGTTTACCAAGGTGGCTAACCATCTCCTCGTCTGCAAAGAAATTGCAAACTAAAGACAGCAGTGAACTGTGGATTGTGCTGCCCCTCTCTTGGTGTAGGGCATAAAGAGCTAACGTTTTGGACACTTCGGGCTTTTTCAGAACTCTAGTGAAAGTTAGTGATTATGGAAAATTATTTGTTGATGAAAACATTTGCATTCTTCATAGTTTGGAACATAGTTTAGTTACATGTATTTTTCGTCTTTGATTCTTCAGGCAAGCAAGGGAAATAAAATGTTTCAAGTCTCTCCTGACTTAAACATTTGTATGTGCTTGTATGTTTAATCAAAGTACGTCTCTGAGATAGGCTGGGTATATACACAGAGCCTTAAGTGAGGGGACCTGAGTGAACACCACCGTGGCACTGTGTTCCTTCAGCCAACAAGCATTTGTTTAGCCCATGCTCCGCCAAGACTTGTGCTAGGTACGGACTGTAAAGAGATTAGAGAGACATCCAGGAACTCCTGAGGTTGCTGAGGGGAGGCAGCATGTGAACAGGATCGTGGAACAAGACAAGAGCTGTTACAAATGGAAAGGGTTCTGGGTACGTTATTGCCGAGATACTTGCAAGGATGCGGGTACCACATCCAGTAGGGTAGATTAGGGAAGAATTGACAGGCTTGTGTTCGTGATGTCCCAGGACTCTTGCAAAAAGCTCTTTTGCTTCATTCAAGGGATATTGGGGCCATCAGAGAGCAAAGTGGACGTGGCCTCTCAGGGACTGGTTCTGCTTCAGGACTTGACCTCCATCCCAGGAGCCTCTGTCATGGTCTGGGAACTTTTAAGGAGTTGGGTGAGCCAAGTCAGTATAGTCCTTAGGAAACCAAACCTTTTGTGGGTAGCACCTAGTTAAATGGGTTGTTCGGTTGTCCCTCCTCACCCAGTGATTTCAGAACCAGGAGAGCTCTTTAGCAAGCAAGCAAGACATAAGTTGGGAAATGCTTTAATATTCCTGCTGAAAGGTTTATAATAGGAAGAGGGTGTTAGAAAGGCTAGGAGCACCTCAGTGACTCTGTTGGTTGAGTGCCCAACTTCGGCTCCGGTCATGATCTCATGGGTTGTGAGTTTGAGCCCCGCATCCAGCTCTCTGCTGTCAGCCTGTCAGCACAGAGCCCGCTTTGGATCCTCTGTCTCCCTCTCTCTGCCTTGTCCCCGCTTACGCTCTCCCCAGAATAAAAAAAAAAAAAAAAAAAAAAAAAGTCTAGAAGGCTGGGGGTAGCATTCATTAAACCCCTGCTAGGTGCTTTCCTGTCAGGTAACTCTGCTCTCCGTGGCGCAGTGAGGTGGGTGGTTGTGTCCATCTTACAAAGGAGAATAAACTCCGTTGAGGAGACTCACCTCACACCCAGCGTGTGTGATGGCCCCAATTCAAACTCCTGTCTGCTGTCTGCACTGAGAGACGATTCGTACTCCTGAAGGGCCAGGCCAGGTCACAGGCAGCATATAATGGTATCTGTGTAGGAGTGAGATAATAGGCTTAGAATCTGAAACCAGAAAGAACTAAAGCTAAAACCAAGCAGACGTAGTAACCAAAAGTTAGTCTCAGGATGTGTGGGTAGAGGTGATAGAAGCAAAATAGTGTTGGCCAAAGCAGCCTGTGATCGAGAGTGTGGGTCACCACACTACGTCTATCCCTCAAAGATGGCCTCTAGATTAAGGGCTTAGAGTTGGGTCTCTTCGTTAGAAGGGAGCATGTTGGAGGTGGAGAAAAGGGGATCTGTGTTTTCTTCTCTAATTGCTATGTAGAGAATTGCATGGAGACTCTCAGTTGCATAGAGGCCCAAGGTCATGCATCCTAAATAGGGAGCTTCTATTTGAGGATCCAAAACTTTTGAGTGATCTGAAAAATGTCAGTTTCTTTAAAAGATTCTAAACTTAAAACATCACCGGGAATGAACTTAAAATGTACAGGGTCTGGATAAAGAAAACTTTAAAATAATATGAAGGACATAGAAGAAGACATGAACAAATGGAAAGAAAGACCCAAGTTCTTGAACTGGAGCAGCCAACAACATGAAGCTGTCCTCAAAATTAACAAATGTAATGCTATCTCAATAAGACATACCAATGGGTTTTTTTTAAAAAAACACCTAAGTTCATATGGGGAAAAAAATAATAGCTGGAAGATGATGCTAGGGGGAAAAAAAGATTGGGTGTTTAATCCAAACATTAAAACACATAAAACTATAAATAAAACTAAAAATTTTTGGTGCATAAATGAATAGGCCAATAGAACAGAAGGAAAAGTTTAGAAACAGATTCAAACATAAGAATTTATTATGGTAAATGTGCCATCCAGAACCAGGGAGAAAAAAAGACGGATTCTTCAGAAAATAGCGTTGGAACAACTGGGAAACTCTGGAGAAAGAAAAGTTGGCTTGTATCTCACACCAGATTTCAAACTGTATACATAACAGGAAATGTGGGCAATTCCTTTAAAATCTGTGGGAGGGGGTGGGGAGAATGTTCTAACTTGGATCCCAAATTCAGGAGTCATAAATGAAGATCGACAAATTCTATGTGAAACAAAAATAAAAAATTGAAATCTTTTTAAAGTCAAAAACATCATAAGCCAAGTCAAAATGCTATAGACTATGAAAAAAACTCATCTCTAAGGGATAATCCTCCTAATATATTAAGAGCTCCTGGAAACTAGTATGAAAAACCAACCACCCAATAGAGAAATGAGTAAAGTAACTACAAATAGCACTCAATCTCATTCATAATAAGAGAAATGCACATTAAAAGATGGCAGTTTCACTTAATCAAACTGGGAAAAATCCTAGTGTTTAGCACACCATGTTGGTGAGGCCATGGGAACGCAGGCATTTGTACCACCTTGCTGTGTATAACTGACGTAACCTCTATGAAGAGCAATCTGGTAGTTTGTATCTAAATTTTAAAATGCACATATCCTTTCATCTAGCACTTCCATTTGCCCTGGGCAAATCATCCTGTGCCTGTTTCTTCATGTGTAAAATGCAGACAATTCTACCTCGTAGGGTTGTTGTGAGAATTGTTAGATGAAACACATTAAGAACTTTGTACAAAGTGCCTGGCACATAGGAAGTACTCCAAAAATGTCAGCAATGTAATAGCAGCTAATGCACGTTGAGCTTTTAAACATATGCTGCATTTACTACACGGTGCTTGGTGCTTTTCATGTATTACCTCATTTAATGCTCCAGCCATCCCTGTGATTATCACCAGTTAGCCTCAAGTTTCTGAGGCACAGAGATGTGAAGTGGGTTGTCCAGCAGGATTCAAGCAGGGTTGACTCCCAAGCTTCCCTTAAGGGAGGGTGCGTGGAGCACTGGAGTAACACAGATGGGCAAGCCATGTGTTGAGTTTTGAGGGAAGATGTGGCTCTCAGTTAAGGCTCTGCCACTCTCAACTTGGGTAGCCTTGGGGCAGGATGTTCAGTTTTGTTTCACTTTTGACCTACTCTTAGTCCATCTGCCAATCTGTAAAACTGGGGTATAACTATTTCAAGTGTGGTTGAGAGGATTAAACTAGGCATTCAGGTCTTCCTAATTCATGCTTGCTGATGTGAACCAAAGTACGCAGGGTGGGAGCAAAAGGGGAAACGCATTCTGAGAAGAGGGAACAGCACATTCCAAAGCTACAGATCTAAAAAGAGCCTGAGGAATCCAGGAGTGGGATGAGATGCGGTGGCTGATGGCCTTGAAGATCAGCTAAGAAACTTGGACAATTTGATAATAAAAATAAAACGAAGAGCCACCATTTTCTGAGAGTCTGCTCTTAATTATTTCCATCAAAACTACTCCAGCGAGGTAGATTTAATAAATCCAACTGTACACAAAGGGGAACTGCCAGGAGCCACAGAAGAGGTGTAAGCTGGGAGGTGGCTTGATCAGTTGTGATTTTAGAACCCTTGGACCAACAGGAGGTGCTCTAAGAGAACTGCCTTGAATCCCATACATTAAAAGTATTAATAACATTTATCATTTTTGCATTTATTCCACAATTTATATTCACCGTAGAACATATGAAAAATACAAGAAAGTTTAAAGAAATATAAAAAATTGTTAATTCCACCCTCTAGAGAATCCCAAGGGATACTTTCCTTCCAGTCTTCTCCCCCCGCCCCCACCTTAATCCAAAAAAAATATGTAGTGATTAGAATGGCTCTTAGATAGAAGATGTGGAGAGGTCAGTGTTAAAACGCCCTTGATACTCCTTCTCTTCTTCCTTTTCTTAGGACCACACCAAGGGGAGAGCCGACTCCCTCCGCGTTTTCAGGGATACTCCCCAGGACTCATCGCCGCCACGCTCGCTCGCCTCAAGCCGGTCTCTAGGGGGCGCTGCTGCAAGACCTGGAGCGGAAGGAAGGCGATGCTGAAACGCGGTTAAATTTGGGCACCGCCGCCGCCCGTAGTCGGCGTCCTCAACATGGCGGCTCCCCAGGATGTCCACGTCCGTATCTGTAACCAAGAGATTGTCAAATTTGACCTGGAGGTGAAGGCGCTTATCCAGGTACTAATTCCCGGGACCCGTGTCGGGCCCCAGCAGCCCTAAACCCAGGCTCCTCTGGCCTCCTGTAAGCTCGGCGGTCTCACTCCCAAGCTTTCCCCGCTTGGTCAAGTCTCCGAGGTCGTTGGCCCCGTCCCAGGGCCGGCTGCTCCCTCCCTCCCCCTTTGGTCCATCTCCTCGACCATTGGCCTTGATCCTCTATCCAGTTGCGGTTGCCTTGCCCTCTTCTGGACACTCTCGTGCTCCCCCATCCTGACCAAGCTTACCCTTTGTGACCCCCACTGGTCCCTCCCACTCCCATTTCTCGACCCGGACCGCCACACAACATACCTGTCACCTTGGGTGGCCCCGCCTTCTGACACCGCCCTCCCCACCAGTTGGTGGAGTCCTGAGAGCCATTGGCCCCGCCCACTCCTGACCTGCTCCTCTGGGTCTGGTGCCCGGTGACACCAAAGGCCGCCTGACACGGGAGGCACCAGGTGAAATGAACGTAACCTCGGCCGTAGTTGTGACTCTGTAAATGAGGAAATCAGGTAAAATGCCAAGGCCTGGGGCAAAACTGCGACCCGGACGAGGAAAGTCCGCCTAGAGAAGGGGCTTAGGGAGTCTCTACAACTTTCTTTAACTGATGGGGTAATTGAGGTGTTTTGCCTTAAGCTATTTAAGGTAGAAGGCAGCAGAGCGATGAACCAATTGGCACAAGCAAGAGTTAGGAATGTAGAAATGATCCCTTGAACTTATCAAAAAGAAACCAAGAGTTTTAAACCTTGGTTTCAGGCAAGTCATTTCCATTTCCAACAGATGCTATTAAACATTAGATGTAGGGGCGCCTGGGTGGCTCAGTCGGTTAAGCGGCCGACTTCAGCTCAGGTCATGATCTCGCGATCAGTGAGTTCGAGCCCCGCGTCAGGCTCTGTGCTGACAGCTCAGAGCCTGGAGCCTGTTTCAGATTCTGTGTCTCCCTCTCTCTGACCCTCCCCCGTTCATGCTCTGTCTCTCTCTGTTTCAAAAATTAATAAACGTTAAAAAAAATTTTTTTTAATAAACATTAGATGTAGACTCAGAGTTTGCAAGTAACTGTGGCAAAAACTGAAGGAAAGTTGGATTCCCCATGGAAACCCGATGCAGGATAAACCAAATTAGTGCTTTATCATGGTGCAAGAAGTGGGGTTTAATAAGTCAGAGAACAAGTGAGGAAACTTGATGCAAACATTTAAACTTCTTCAACTTTACTTCTTCTCCATACACACTGCAGTACTTCTGGGCTGACTCTGGAAAAATAAGCGTAGGATTCATACAAATAAAACATTTTCACATAATCTAAGTTGGGTAAGCCCCTTTTGTACTGTGTTTGGGTTCTCATGATTGCAAACGAGAAAGATTGATTATACGTAGGTGTACTGCACTCTTACTGTGTTCCAGCTCCCCTGCAAAGTGCTTTACATACATATAAGGTTTATGTGGTAGGTAATGTGGTGAGGAAACTGAGGCACAGAGAACTCCATGACTTTTTGTTACACAGCTAAGAAATTGCTACAGCATCTGCATACTCTGGCTCCAGAACCTGCTCTAAAACCTGACCCCAGGGCTTTTGGATGCCCAGAAACCAATTCTAGATCTCCCCTCGAACATGTCTGTAGAAACCAATTCTAGATCTCCCCTTGAACATGTCTGTAAACACCGTGATTGATATATAATAGATGGTTTGTAAAATCAGGGTGAAGTTAATCTTGTCATATGATGCCAGGAGTTGATCCTGATTTTCAAGTTGGAAAGTTCTAAAGTTATAGTGTCACTTTTGGATGTCCGTTCTTGTTGGACATACAAGCTGCTTTAAGCCTTTTATACTGATCCTGTGGTGTTTTGTTGAAATCAGGAACTAATAAGTCAGGACAGCTGTGTTTCTTTTCATACTTTTGTATTACCTGCTCAGAATTACAGAAATAGGAGAGAAATGTAAATGATAATGTTTTTGCTTGTGTTGCTGAGGTAAACAGCAAAGATCAGGATGAATTAACAGGCAGTAGGCCAGCCTTAGTTGTGATCTGAGCCAGTCTTCTCACTGTACAGATGGTATCATTTCACTTCATTGCCTTGAGAAAGTCCCTCTCACCTTTTCAATGTCTCCTAGGATATTCGGGATTGTTCAGGACCATTAAGTGCACTTACTGAACTGAATACTAAAGTGAAAGAGAAGTTTCAGCAACTGCGGCACAGAATACAGGTGAGTAGCTGCAGAAGTAAGATGTGGAGAATGCGTCACAATGAGGGGGCTCCATCCGGGAGCCGCCTGAGCGCTGTCCGGTTTCTTCAGTAGACATTTAGACAGTGAGGGTAACTGTACTAACTTGCTCTCAAGGTCAAAGTGAAGAACTTTTGAATGTGTTGCTACTGTCTCTTGAGGTGTTTTTTTGTTTGTTTGTTTGTTTCCTGCTGCTCTTTGCCCAGCCTCTTCCTCCCTGTTTCTGAGGTCTCCAATCACATCATATGCACATATAACACTCCTGAATCCCACTATGGCATATGTGCAATCTCAAAACCAGTGGAGCGAGAAGTACCTGTTTGCATAGCCTGTTTGTGCTGCTGTGCCCTAGAGAGAATAAGATGAGTACATGGGCCTGCCCGTCGCTGGGTGGGTCCTGGGGCCCTTGGTCTCACTCACTCCACTACCCTTGGTACTGGAGTTTACAGATCTGTGCTTGTCCTGTGACCTGGCCCCACAGGCCAGCCAACAACTCTTGTTGCTTAACAGAGGATAGTCTGTTTCAAAGCTGGTAGCAAAAGTGGCCATTTGGACCTGAGAAATAGTATGTCTGGGCCCTGTGTATTGCTTTCCTAAGGGATTTTCAAGGGCAGTTTTGAAAATAAGTACTTTCTGCCTTAAGAGTTCACTTTAGAATTTTAGCAAGGTCACTGAACCTCGCTGATCTTTTTTTGCCTCCGTCTGTAGCACTGATTTATAATTGAATTTTTATTTTTGAAAGGCTGTTACTTTCTCATGTATGTGTATACATTCTATGTATGTATGCCCATGGGTGAATATGGACACTCAGTGGAAAGTCCCATGTATGAGTGTTATTATTCTCTGTTCCTCTCCTCCACACAGGTAACCACATTTGTTACTTAGGTATCTTTTCATGGTGTATCTACTCAAATACTAAAAAAAGCCAAATATATTTTCTTATTTCCAGTTTCTCATATAAAAGGTAGCATACTAAAACACCACTTTTTAAAACTTAACAGTATCTTTTGGAAATCTTTCCATATCAGTATTAGAGTGCTCCCTCGTTCTTTTTTTTTTAATTTTTTTTTTCAACGTTTATTTATTTTTGGGACAGAGAGAGACAGAGCATGAACGGGGGAGGGGCAGAGAGAGAGGGAGACACAGAATCGGAAACAGGGTCCAGGCTCTGAGCCATCAGCCCAGAGCCTGACGCGGGGCTCGAACTCCCGGACCGCGAGATGGTGACCTGGCTGAAGTCGGACGCTTAACCGACTGCGCCCCCCAGGCGCCCCCCTCGTTCTTTTTTTATAGTCCTAGTTTTCTAGCCAGTTCTGTATCAAAGGGCATTTTATTTGGACTACTTCTCTGCTTTTTGGTTTTTCGTTTATTTTGCTTTTTAAAGCTAATGCATTCCCTGAAAGACCTTTCTTCGACTCTCATGATTTCAACTCTGCAGCCACACCCACCACCTTAAGTATTTTCATGTTCTTTCTGTTTGCTCAGTGTTTATTTCCTTCACTAATTGAAATTACTTCACTGATACATTTACATATTTATTATGTCCCTCTCTCCCATAATCACCTCCTCGAGCACCAGAATATCCTGGCACCTAGTAAAGACTTAATAAGCACATGGTCAGTGAATGAATAACCCCATCCCAGTTTTATCTGCATTTCCTGAACCTTTATACCAGGAAATATATACAAGATTTCTATTTGATGTTTTTAGCTCTTTATGAATGACTACGTTGTGTATTTGCAACAAGATTGTGTAGTACTGGGGAACTGGCCTCATATCCTCAACATATGCTTCAGCTGGGCATCGACTGACTATGTGTAAATACCTGTGTGAATGTCTTTGTGTATGTGGTTCTCAGACTGGAATTTGAGAACTATTTTACCCCTTTCTTTTCTTCCACAACTATTTGGTTCTCTATGACAGAACTCCCTTTTATGAGGAAACTATACATTTCTTCCTTCTTTCCTTCCTCCCTCCCTTCTTCCCATGCATCCATTCTTCCATTCAGTGATTTGGTGCCTAATAATGTGCCAGGCACAAGGAATATATATAATGAACACTAGATAAAATCCTGCCTTCCTGGAGTTCACATTTTGGTAGGGAATCTAGATTTTTTTTTAATGTTTATTTATTTAAAAAAAATAATGTTTATTTTTGAGAAAGGGAGACAGAGTGTGAGCAGGGGAGAGGCAGAGAGGGAGAGAGACAGAATCAGAAGCAGGCTCCACGCTCTGAGTTGTCAGCACAGAGCCCGACATGGGGCTTGAACTCATGAACTGTGAGATCATGACCTGAGGTGAAGTTGGACACTTAACCAACTGAGCCACCCAGGTGCCTGGGAATCTAGATTTTAAGTAAATAATTAAGCGAGTAATTTACTGACTACATTTGCAAAACTTGCATTCCTTTATGTTCTTTTTTTTCTCTGACTCAGCCATATCTGGGACCATTAATTGGAAGTTATCTCTGAGCTAGTGAAATGGTGGATACAGATGTGTGTTCCTGACCAGCTTGTGCAAATTAACACATAAATGAGTATATAAATAAATAAATGCCTATATAAATGCACTAATATGTTGATGTTTTTAGCATCAGGAGCTTGATTGGAACTGGAACTTGTTTTAATCTGTAAACAAAGAACATGGCTTGATTCTTGAGGTGTAATGACATCTTTCATTAGAGTCTGTCTGCTACTTCCATCATGTGAAGTTCTTGGGGGGTCTCAGACTGCCAGTTGTTGTGTCCACTGCCCCTCACTGAGGTGGACCGTTTGTCTCCTGGCGTTTGGTGATTCTGGGTTGTGAGCAGTCCTCTTCAGCCGACCTTATCTGTGGGACTTTTGTTCAACCTGGACTGAAGGCAGCAGGTCTTTTCAGAGGTTTTTGGATTTGCTTTTGCTATGTCTCCTGGGGTCGTAAGTCTGGAAGCACTTTGTATGTTCATTTCTCCTCGTGAAGATTCCCAAACCATTCAGAGAGGAGGAATTGTTACTCCAGATCAGCTTGAGGGTGGCTCCATGCTTTTAAAGTCTCAGGAGATATTTTGTATCCTAGCCAGAGCCCAGGGCAGAAAAAGGGACAAGCTTCCATGCTGTCTCTCATGCTGGTTGACAGACGTTTTCTAGTTCACCTTTTCACTGGAGGGATATCCCTTTGTAGGTCCTGGATTTGTGGCTCCCTGCCTCAGATAGCTCAACACTTTGTTTGGCTGTCCATATATAGGCTTTAAAATCTTCAAACTGTTTGCTACCAGTATATTATGAAATAGGTACAGAGATGGAGAATGAACATTTAGACACATATAGCAGTTTGATGTTTGCATGTATCTCAAAGTGGGACCAAGGGGCTCCTATTTAGTAATTTTTCCCCCCCGCTTTTGATTCCATTCATGGCCCGGACTACAGGAGTAAATGTCCTATCCCAGGGCAGTTGTGCCTCACTCACAGTCTGACATCTCTGGCTCTTAGTTTCCTTCTCACCTTGGGGCCCTGGGGATTGTCCTTAACTTTCTTGCAAACTCAGCTCTATATTTAGAAGGATGTTTGTTATATGTCACCTGGCATTCCTGAGTGTTCTCTTTTAGGAGCGTTTTTTTTTTTTTTTTTAATTTTTTTTTTCAACGTTTATTTATTTTTGGGACAGATAGTGACAGAGCATGAACAGGGGAGGGGCAGAGAGAGAGGGAGACACAGAATCGGAAACAGGCTAGAGCCCGACGCGGGGCTCGAACTCACGGACCGTGAGATCGTGACCTGGCTGAAGTCGGACGCTTAACCGACTGCGCCACCCAGGCGCCCCTTTTAGGAGCGTTTTTAAGTGCTATCATATAACCTCCCTAGAAAGAGAAGTGCTCTTTGGTTTTTATATTGGCTTTTAAAATCATTTTAACATAGAGCTGTTTTCCCCAAAGGAGCTTGAGCAGTCAGCTAAAGAGCAAGACAAAGAGTCAGAGAAGCAGGTTCTGCTCCAGGAAGTGGAGAATCACAAGAAGCAGATGCTCAGGTAGGTGGGGCCTGTGCTGGGTCACTTGCTCTGTGGGAGGCTTGTGCAGAGCTTTGCCTAAATAAACCTGGCTTCATGATTTAAATGTGTCATTTATACACAGACTGTCCTCTCAAAGCAGGGGCAGGTAGGGGCTATCGGTAGGTCAAATTGTGTATAGTTACAAAAGCGCATTTAACCATATGCTATATTTTATATTTTTAACACAAACCCAAAAAATGGTTGCTCATGTAATACAAGGTCCTTTTTCTTTAAGGATAATTGATACCAGAAAAAGCCCGCTGAAAATGAACCTACTTAAGATGAAACAAAATTTAGAAAGTTTTAAATGGGACCTTATCTTAAAAAATGAAACCAAAAAGATGTAACTAAGGTGATGTTATGTTAAATAACTTGGAGATGATCGTTATAACTCATGTGCTAACCTTTAATTATATTACTGAGGTATGTGCTCTTTCTTGGTATTGAGTTGGGGGACTGTCCAACAAAATTGTCTGATGGCATGAAACCGTACCTGTCCCTTCACATTTGATCTTGGTACCATATCATACAGAGGATTATTGTTGCAAAAATATCGGAGGGCTCCATCATCTGTCCCAGTCCTCTGGTAGCCAGGTCATTCTCTTGAAGCCCCTGCTGGTCATCGCCCTCCTAGGTGTTCTCTTCCTCCTTGTAATTGCTCTAACTCTGCCAGATCTGTATTTGTCTGTGGTTTTGCTTCTGATTTGGGTGATGATCCAGCATTATCCTTGCTGAGAGCAGCTATGTTTATAATACCCAGCAATCAGGAGAAGACTGTCTGACAAAGATGTGGGCGTGGTAGAGACTAGTGTAAGCAGGGAGGGATGTGTGCGTGGTGACCGGTGTTTAAGTGCTTGGCTCAGTAGTATCACTGTGTCATGATGGCATTTGCTTCCCTTGGCCACCAAGGATGCCCAGGTTGTAAACACTGAGTAAAGAGGACCCTTGTATAAAGTATAGTAAATTACACGAGGTGAAACAGGCTCAGCACGGGTCTGAGAATGGCCATCCATGATGTGGAGTTACAGGTAGGGAGAGCAAGCAGTAAATGAATACTTTGGCAAGCCGTGTTGAGACAGCAGTTGTGCTTGCCCGCGTTATTGTGCTTATCACACCGGCCAACAAATCCTTTGTTTGCTTGTCTTTCTCCCCAAGAAATGTGAGCCGCTTGAGGGCGGCCACTATGGCTCACTCATCTCTGTGTCACAGGGTCGAGCAGAGCTCCCTTGCCCACAGTTTGAAAATGTAATTGATTCTTTTTAAATATCAGGTGTGAAATGGCATAGCAGGTGCTGTTCAGGTGACAGAGAACTTGTTTTAATGTTTTAAGCACAGAGGTGCTATTAGAAAAACACCCTCTCAGTTCATGTGCCCCGTGCTTGACTTTGTAAATATCTCAGGGGTTAGCAAAACTGACGTGATCCAGCTGCCTAAGAGTTCCAGTGCTTGAGTTTGATTCTCTGAGGGGCCCAATTAACATTTTTATAGTCCATCAACAAAGGTTACACTGCTAACCCCAGGGAGCTGTTCACCAAATTTGAGTTGTCTCTCACAAGGGGGATCAGGTAAAGAATGTAAATAAATCGTGTCAAACTGGGCTCTGCTAATACACTGTGTTTGTATTGTTCATGATCGGTCTGGGTGTGTAAAAGACAGCACATCTTAAAGAAATATCGAGCAAACCCTAAGTGCTGAATCACTATATTGTTCACCTGAAACTAATATTACACTGTATGTTAACTGGAATTTAAACAAAGCTTGGAAAAGAAATAATGGGGAAAACGGTCTTTCTATGATTTTTCTACTTTTTATAACACATATTAATTGGCTAATGGGCCAGAAACTGTTGTTCTAATTACTGGTGATCCAAAGATGAGTGAGACATGGTTCTCAAGGAATGGAACTAACCAGTACACAAGACAGAGCCTTGAAGTGTTATAGATGTGACTTGACAGAACAGGGCCTTGTATGTCCAAGGTGGATTTGAACTCTGAAACCATTGCTGGCTGTAAACACAGAAGTGCCGTGGCCAAACTGCTCCCTCTGGCTGCCCTGGAAGGAAAGGGACAGCTATGGGCAGTAGGGCAGTAGGGCAGTAGGGGAACATCTTGCAGGCAGCCTCCAGGGTCCAAACCAGAGGTGTTGGAGCCTTAGCTGGGGCAGCTGCTGGGGCAGCCAAGAGGGAGAAATGTCGGGAGGTAGAGATGGGCTCTGTGGGCCAGGCCTTCCCCATCACTCACTTGCGGTGACTTGATCTGACTGACAGAAACTCATGCGAGACCCTTCTGATTCCAGCAATCAGACCTCATGGAGGAAGGCTAATCTCACTTGCAAAATTGCTATCGACAATCTAGAGAAAGCAGAACTTCTCCAGGGAGGAGACCTCTTAAGGCAAAGGTATCTTTCTTTTTGTCTTTCTGGGCCCTGATAATGGAATTGACCAGGTGCAAAACCCACTGTAGGCAGCCCCTTCTTGTTTTCAATGTAAAACTGGTACTTAATTTTATTATATAAGTAGTATTTTTTAAAGTAGGAAAGAAATATATGCTTACTTGTAATAAACTGATAAAGAAAAATATTAATTATAAAATGAGAATAAGCTGTAATCGTGTTACAAATGTTGTGATGTATTGTCTCCTCCCATTATTTTTTTTACAAAGTCAAAAATCGTACTATATATAAAATTTAGTATCTTGCTCGTCTTCACATTGTATAACACAAAGACTTGCTTGTTGTTTTAGAAAACTCTTTAAACGAAGTTTTAAGAGTCCGTAGTATTCTCTTGTATTAACTAATCCCCTGTTCGCATGTGTTTACATTTCTAGTTTGTCAGTATTATAAATAATACACAAGGGCACGTCTTAGGACATAAGGCTTTGTCCACATTTTGGATATTTCCTTTGGAGAGATTCCCAGGGATGAGATTATTGGGCAAAAGGCACGAACATTTCTAAGGGTCCTGATACCTGTTGCCGAATTGCTCTCACAGAAGGGTAGCAGTCTTCAGCACATCCTTGGTGGCATTGACTGCGATTATTGATATTTAAGTATATATGGTATCTTGATAAATAAAAAAAATGGGATCTCATTTGAAAATGGGGTTTTCTCGCAGTCAGGCTTTTGTTGACATTCCTCCTCCCACTCTGGATTTTTAGGAAAACCACCAAAGAGAGCCTGGCCCAGACGTCCAGTTCCATTACGGAGAGCCTCATGGGGATCAGCAGGATGATGTCCCAGCAGGTTCAGCAGAGCGAGGAAGCCATGCAGACGCTAGGTAAAGCCAGACCTGGAGTTAGAAGCTTCTCCCAGAGACACCAGCTCCAGAGCCTTTGCCTTGGCACCTGCCACCAGGCTCTTCCACCTCTGCCCCCCACCCTAGTCCCGACGCTTGCTGACATGGGTGGCTTCTCACTTCTTCGACAGCGTGGTCTTGCCCAGAGTGGGATGTGTTGCTCTTACTTCTCTTTTTGGTTTTCATGGTTGTACTAGAAGATCTGCACACCACTGATAAAATGTTTCCCCAGCAGAAGCACTTCCAGGGTCTCATGTGAAAGGCAGAGATCTCCAGGCCTTCTTCTGGAGAGAGTGGGTCCCAGCAGGGCCGGGGGAGGGGCCTGGGAGTCTGTATTTTTTTATCTGGCATTCTGTGGACCCATGTGGCCAGGCAGGCTTGGGAATCACTGCCTAGGGAGATGTTTAGTGTATCGGCTGCCGACGAGGCTGCTAGGTCCTCGGCTTACAATTATACCCCCCAGTGTTATTTTCACTGTGAACTGCTTTTAAAAGATACAGTCAAAGGCCATAGAAGAAGCTGCTGGAGCATCTGGTTCTCTCCCAGCAGCTTTCCCATAGTGCCTCTCTTGTAATGCAGAAGAGAATTGGCCCTCTTCAGGGTCTTCCATACAGGAAAACAGAAGAGGAGAGTTTACACTTTGAAACACTTTTGGCAGATTTCACAAAGAGACAGTAGAGAGCATGGTGCAGAGGTCCAACGGACCCGTTCCCCCAGCTTCAGCAGCTGTCTGCTCATGGCCAGTCTTGTTTCGGCTCCACCCTTCCGTGCCCTCATCTGGATTATTTTGAAGCAAATCACAGACATCATCTATAAATATCTCAGTGTGTCTCTCTGAAAGAGGCTCGTGAAACAAAAAACAAACAAAACCAGAGCACGATACCATTATCACCCCTAAACAGTATCTGTCATTTGGAGCCACTTTTTTTTTCAGTGCACTCTTCAAACAGGCAGCAAAGCACAAGGAAAGCAAGCAGCTTGTCCCCAAGGTCAGTCCCTCTGTTTGAAACGTATCTGGGCATTTAGGCTCAGAACCAGCCGGTCACCTCCTCTACATGTGTGCTGGGGGTGGGGCTCAAGCCTTGGTAGAGGCCTTGGAGAACATGCCAAAGGGGGGGCCGCCTGGCCTTGTTAGTTGAGGGCTTTTCTGCTTTGATGCAGGTGACGGACTGCGCATGCACATACCGGAAACAGATAATGTAGTTAAATGGTGAGAAGGGTACAGAGATGCTGATGGCCTCTGGGGTTTTCAGGGCTGTTCTTGGGGCCCATTCTTTCCTACCAGGAGAGAAGCTGTTGAAGAAAAAAGAATCCAATACTTTTAATTTTTTTTTTTAATGTATTTATTTTTGAGAGAGAAAGCACATGCTCGAGAGCGAGTTGGGGAGGGGGCAGAGAGAGAGGGAGACACAGAATCTGAGGCAGGCTCTGGGCTCTGAGCTGTCAGCACAGAGCCCAGTGTGGGACATGAACTCACGGACTACCAGATCATTACTTGAACCGAAGTCAGATGCTTAACCGACTGAGCCACCCAGATGCCCCAAAAGAATGCAATTGTTAATCCTTTCCTTGTAGCTCAGAAAGTCAGCCTGATTTAAAAGCCTGTTAGGACTACAGTTTTGTTTTGTTTTTTGTTTTGTTTTGTTTTGTTTTGTTTAAAGCATATTAGGGATATAATGGAATTTGCTGAAATTGAGTGGGGTAGTAGTGTGAGGACAAGAGTGCCAGGGAGTTAGCAGTTTAGGGTATGGGTGATGGGCACAGGGCATTTCGTGATACTATTCTGTCTACTTTGGCAATGCTTTAAAATCCTCTATGATTTTTAAAAAGAAAGGCCTACTAGCTTTTTTTCTGAACAAGCTCTTACTTAGGTTTTTGGAATGGCAGCAGGCATAGAGAAAGAGGACCAAGAGGGATTTTTGACATCTGAGTGTTTTCACCCCTCATTTGCCTGTATATAAATGCTTCTCTGTTTCCTCTGGTAATTTCTTTTACTTACTTATTAACTTTTAATTTTGTGAGAAGGTAACATATATTACATGATTAAGGAGGAATCTCTAGGCCAGCATTGTCCAACAGAAACACAATGTGAGCCACGTATGTAACTTTAAATTTTCCAGTAGGCACATTAAAAAGGTAAAAAGAAACCTTTGAATGTATTTAACCCATTACATATAAAATATTACCATTTCACTCTGCAATTAATATGAAAAATTGTTGATACTTTACCTTCTTTTTTTTTTTTTTTTTTTTCATGCTAAGTCTTTGAAACCGTGTGTGTTTGACACTTAGGGACGTCTCCATTTGGTTTAGCCACATTTCACATGCTCATGTGCTGCATACGTCCAGGGGCTGCCGTGTTGGGCTGCCTCGTAGACACCAGGTCTACTCCCCAAGGGCAACCACTGTTACCACTTTCTTTTACATCCTCCTGAGGTCTTCCAAGCATGTCTAGCACAAGCAGATTAAATACTGTTTATACTCCTCTCTCTTCCATAAGTGGAAATTTTCACATACGCTCTTTCACACCTCATTTTAACAGCATATTTTATTCTGTGGATGTTTTGATGATGCCTTGCTAGGCTTTGTGGGAGAATCTTGCCACGTATACTCAAGTGTCAGGCCCAGATACCCATACTCAGAAGTAAATTTGACTCCTGGATACAATGAGCCTTCAGGGACATGTACCTCCCCTTAGATTTCATACAGTGGCCAGAGCACAGGTGCGTCATCTTTAAAGCTACAGCAGTGTCTCAGGACTGAAGGACTGGTATGTGTGTGTGAGGGCTTGTGGCAAGGCCCAGCCCAACTTCTTGTGATCCCACAAAGAGCAGATCTGACTGTCAGGGGTGTGGGCGGGGTGCACCTTGGACAGTCTTGGTGACTCCCAGCTTCTTTTTAAAATTTTTCTTAATGTTTTTATTTATTTTGAGACAGAGAGGGACAGAGCATGAACAGGGGAGGGGCAGAGAGAGAGGGAGACACAGAATCCGAAGCGGGCTCCAGGCTCTGAGCCATCAGCACAGAGCCCGATGCGGGGCTCGAACTCCCGAACCGCGAGATCGTGACCTGGGCCGAAGTCGGACGCTCAACCGACTGAGCCACCCAGGCGCCCCCCAGCTTCTGCCCCCGTACCGTACATTGCCTGGCCACAGTCACCCAAGTTCGTTTTGGGACTGGTGGTTCTCAACACCTCCCTGCTTCAGAAAACTGAAGTTGGTGGTCAGGAAAGGAACTCGCTTCTGCTTTTTTCCCTGGTGATGTTCATGTTGGAGAACACCTAGTTATGGCCCCGTGACATTGTATATAAAGCCACATCGCTCTAAGCTGGATGAGACCTAGAGAAGTGCTTTCCTTGTAATATCCTTATTCTTTGCTCCTCTGGATTGTCTCTGCTCACATCTTTGCTTTTGGCTCAAGGGAACTTGCTATAGACTGCAGTGTTATTTAGTGGTAACCCAGCCAGCAGAGCAAAGTCTTTGGTTTTGGTGCTCTACAGTCTCTGAGTCAGGCTTCCTCCCTCTTTTGTTTCAGCCAATTCTTCCCGGACTATCCTGGATGCAAATGAAGAGTTTAAGTCCATGTCAGGGACCATCCAGTTGGGACGGAAGCTTATCACAAAATATAATCGCCGAGAGCTGACGGACAAACTTCTCATTTTCCTTGCCCTGGCCCTTTTCCTCGCTACGGTCCTCTATATTATAAAAAAGCGGCTTTTTCCATTTTTGTAAGATAGGGAATTACCAGCTTTTGCCCTTTAAAGTCCGGTGTCAAGATCTGGCCATGCTACCAAGCTCTGGTAAACCAGTCCATGCCTCCACGGTCTGCTCCAGTTGGTCTACGGGTTGGATGGAGGCACAGAGTTCCCCAGGTTCCTGCAGGTGGCTGGCTTGCAAAGGGCAAGCAGAGCAAGGTGTCATTGAGACACCTACAGGAACACAGGGACTCCACGAGCCATTGCAACAGTGCTTATGGCTGTCACATGGGGCATTCAGAGGCCAGCCTTCAGGCTTTGATCCTCCTTTCTCTCCTTCTCCTGCTGTGGCCTTAGTGCCAGATCTGGTAGAAGGAAGAGAAAAGTGGGGGGGAAGGAGGATAAGGAAAACTCACGTCCATTTCTTGAATAAACTTGACTATATTTAATAGAATGAAATGCATTTGGATTATAAGGTATCCTTCTGGGAATTTGTGTCCTGCTTTCAGTGTCCAGATTTCTAGGACATGAACTTAGCTCATTTATTTGTTCTCCCAACAAAGGATTATTAGGCAGCAGTCATATGCAATGTATTACAGACCCTGCCCACTGTTACAAATAGATTGGTAAAGCAGCTGTGGTTCTTCCCTCAGGGAGCAAGGAGAACAAGATCTCATAGGCTCCAAAAAAGTAAGTTACAAAAAGCCCCCACCGGAGGTGGCTGACCCATCTGAAAAGGCTGAGGCAAACAGCCTTTTCTTTCTGTGTACAGTGGTGGGCCTGGCCTCTCGGTGTGCAGCGTCTTGGGGGCTGGCGCATGTCTTTCTCTTTGAGGTGCAGAGCTAAATATAACGATGAGAGGGAGGCTAGTGATAAGCGGAGTCCTGTCTGGGCCTGAGTTCTGTCGAGGCCTGGGGGATCCTAGGGCTCAGGCTGGGAGATGTTCATGTCCTTGTGCTATAGGCCTGGCTGGCCTCACACATGAAATCCCAGCCTCCCCACTATTTATAGCCCCAGAGGCCCTGGGATGTGTAACATGGAGGCAGAGGGGAAAGTGAAAAGAACATGGACTTTGAGCCTTGGTTTTGAGTCTTGGCTGTTTAACTAAAGACCATGTGACTATGGGCAAGATATCTTATGTCACTAAGCCTCAGTTTCCCCACCTGTAACATGGGGGTGATAGTCCACATAGACATTTGTTTAGTCAACATGAGACTCCAACAAGAACGTGAAGTAACAAGTGCAGCTTCTGTCTGAGCAGTGGGCTTCCCAAGTGGGGCCACCTCCAGGGCTCTGGACCCTGAGGTTTCCTGCAGCAAACAGGGGCTTCGGTGAAAGCTGGCCTGGGCATCACAAGTTCTGTTTAGATCTGTTTGAGCAGAGGATGTCAACAGTTAAGGCTTTGGCTTTAGTTATGAACTGCCAGATCTTCATGGGACCAAGTACTTAAGAGATTGGCTGCACACCTCAGACTGACTAGTTTAATGAGTAGGTTCTAAGTTAAAGTGTGTGCGTGTGTGTGTGTGTACACACTTCTATATATACATATATCATACTTAAACGATTTCTGGCCTCAGAAGACACTCACTGCAAATTGTGCATGCATGTGTCTTATTTATAGTCAAATTAAAGCTGAGAATAAAGCACAGATGGGAAATTCCCACTCAGATTCCAGCTGTAAGTGCAGCAGATGGATGTTATCAATTTAGGATTTTCTTGTCTTAACATTTTTCTTTACCACTTCCCACTAATTGTCAACATCCTCCTTCCAATATGGGAATGTGTGGGCGCTGTACTCCTTAAAAAATCTCCCTTTGACTTTATTCTTCTGTAACTTGCTAGGTTGAATTTGAAATGTCATCAGTAGCATTGTATCTTGGAACCCCATTCAGCCACCGGGATTCAAAGTCATCCCCTAGCCGGCTGGCTGGACAGAGAGCAACCATCTCCATGTTCAACCGTGAGGGGGCAGTGTTCACATTTGCTCTGTGGTCTTGCTTGTGTACGGCTTCATCAGTCCATACGGAATGCTCTTGCGGATTTTTTTTTCCCACGTACCAGACTTTAAAAACAAACAAACATACAAATGTACAAAGTTTATAGTTTTTAGAAGATGTTTCATAGATGATTTTCATTTTCACTGTGAAAAGTAAGGTCAGCTTGTGTTCTACAGTTTGGTTAGGTGACAGTCAAAGAATTAAAAGTATAGAGCAGCTGTCAAGAGGTCGTTCATTCCAAGTATTTACTGAGCACGTACTTTGTACCAGGCACTGTGCTAGGTATAGGCAGTGAATAAAACAAAGATTCCCTGTTGTTGTGGAACTTACAATATGTGAGAGAGGGCAGGCAGATGATAAACAAATAAGCCATTCATTCTGTTAGACAATAAGTGGTCTAGGAAAGAGAGAAGCCCGCTAATGGAGACAGGAATGTAGGTGTGGGGATAGGTTTGCAGTATTAAGTAGGGTGGTCAGAGCTGGCCTCACTGAGGAGGTGAGGTCTGAGCAAAGGCTTGTTGGGGAGGGAGACCCCTTAGCCATGCAGACTGCTGGGGGAGATGGGCTCTGGCACAGGGACCAGATGGGGCTGGAGCAAAGGCCTATGGTGGGAGCACCTGCGATACTGTGATTGATAGTGTGTGTGTGTGTGTGTGTGTGTGTGTGTGTGTGTGTGTATATATATATATATATATATATATATATTTGGTGTCCCCAGTCAGGGGCACAGAGCTCCTAAAACCCTTGGACTTTCCTGCAGTGAGAGCCATAAAGGTTTCTTTTGTTATGTGCATGAGGCGGCTTTTGGAAAGCACTAAAGACAGGGCTGGTTGCCAGTGGACCTCAGAGGAGGGGAGAGGGGTTGGAAATTAAGTTCAGTCACCAGTGGCCCATCATTTAATCGATCATGACTGTCGAATGAAGCCTCCACAAAACCCAGGAGGACTGTGTTCAGAGATCTTCTGGGTTGGTGAACACATGGAGATTGAGGGAGGGTGGCACACTTAGGGCATGGAAGCTCTGCATCCTTTCCTCGTGCCTTGCCCTATGCGTCTCTTCCATCTGGCTGTTCTACCCTTTCTTAATAAACTGGTCATCTAGTAAGCAAAATGTTTCTTTCATTTCTGGGAACCTCTCTAGTGAATTAAGCAAACCCGAGGAGGAGATAGGTGTTCATGGGAACCTCCCATCTACAGCCTGTTGGTCAGAAGCACAGGTGACAGCCTGGACTTGTGGTGGGCAGCTGAAGTGGGGGTTGGGGGGGAAGTTTTGTGGGACTGAGCCCTTAACCTGTGGGATCTGATGCTGTGTCCAGCAGATAGTGTCAGAATTGAGTTGAATTCTAGGATACCCAGCTGGTGTCAGAGAATCGCTTGTTGGTGTGGGGAAGAAACACACACATCAGAACTGGGTACAGAACTGGAACATGACTGATGTTTTGGAGAATAGCAGGGAAGCTAGTATGGCTAGAGCAGGGTGTGAGGAGTCCTAGAAAAGTAACAGGAAATCGGAGATGCTGGGGGACAAAATCATGAAAAGCCTTATAGGTCATCAGAATGACTGTCCTTGTGGGGTGCCTGGGTGGCTCAGTCGGTTGAGCGGCCGACTTCGGCTCAGGTCATGATATCGTGGTCCGTGAGTTCGAGCCCCGCGTCGGGCTCTGTGCTGACAGCTCAGAGCCTGGAGCCCATTTCAGATTCTGTGTCTCCCTCTCTCTCTGACCCTCCCCTGTTCATGCTCTGTCTCTCTCTGTCTCAAAAATAAATAAACGTTAAAAAAAAAAATTTTTTTTAAATAAAAAAAAGAATGACTGTCCTTGTACTCTGAGGGACATGAGGAGCCAGTGGAGCAGGGCAGTGACTTAATATGACTTACGTGTTGATAACAGTGAATGAGACAAGTGCAGCGTCAGGAGGCCAGCTGGGGGGACGATCGCAGATGTCCAGGTGGCAGATGATGGTGGCTTGTACCTGGCTGAGCAGGAGAGGCGGTGAGAACTAATCATATTCTGGATATATTTTGAAGATAGAACCAACAGGATAAGATTTCTTGAAGGAATGAAAGCAAAAAACTATGAAATTCTTTTTTTTTTAAATTTCTTTTTATTTTTAAGAAATCTGTGTACCCAGCATGGGGCTCAAACTCACAAACCTGAGATCAAGAGTCGTGTGCTCAACCAAGTCAGCCAGCCAGGTGTCCCAAGACTATGAAATTCTTGGCCTAAGTAACAAAAGGAGGAAAAGATCAGGAGTTGGGTTTTAGACCCATTGGGCTTGAGATGATCTATTAGACCCTCTAGTCAAGACGTCAGATACACACGTAGCTATGTGTGCATGGGGTTTGGGAGAGCAGTCAGGGCTAGCTGGGTAATTTGGAAGAGGCACGTAGATGGGATTTAAAGCCATGAGGTTGGATGAGACCACCCAGAGATTTGAGTATAGACAGAGAAGTAACAGCTACAAAAAAAGAGGAACCCGCAAACAAGACTGAGAAGGAATGCCCAGAGACAGAGGAGGCACTTGTACTGGTTAGACTTCGTAGGGAGTCTGTTCATCATTTAATCCCCCAAACAAGGAGACTTCCCGATATACAAGGATCTGTGTTTTTCGTCATCATCTTCCTCATTATCATTGTGGCTGCCATCATCATCAAAAAGCATCTGATATTTATCGGGTTCCCGCTGTGTGCCAGGCACTTGGGGACTGCACATAAATGTAGCCCCCCTGCCTTTAAGGACAACCCAGAATGACGGTGGTGCCTGTGCACTGGGGACCTGTGGAGGGAGAGAGTGTTCCCCTGGACAGGACATGAAAGAGCATGCCATCCCCCTCAGCCACTGCTGTCCTCTCCCCTTTACCACCCAACTTCTGTGACAAGTCTCCATTTCCTCATCTCCCACTCCAGTCTGACCTCCGCTCCTGCCACTCTCCCGAATACAAGCCTTGCTGAGGCCTCCTCCAGACTGTTCATCGGAAGGATGTTTGCCTCCACCTTCTCTCATCCTCAGCCGTTGTTGACCAGTACCTCCTGCTTCTGTGACTCCACACTTCCGGTGTTCCTCTTGTTCTCTGAGAACTCCTGTTCATTCTTTTTTCTTCATCTCCCACTCAGCCTTAAGTGCTGCTTAGAGCTTCTGCCCTCGCCTCCCTCTATATATTTTCTCACAGGCGAGGACCTCCATGTCCCCCACGGTTTAATAATCATCAGGAGAATCACTGTCAATAATTCCAAAGTTATTTCTCCACCACAGACTCAGGTGAGCTCCAGGTTCCTCTGTCTTCTCCATTCCTCCACTCTGCTGGAGCTCATCCCTGACCTCTCTCTCCCCGGCTCTTCTCCAGCCTCCCAGTCTTCCCGGACACACCTCCCATCCCCCTTCCAGGCTTCCTGTTCCCTTCACCAAGGCCATCTGCTTGACACCTCTTCCCACCCGCCCAAGGGAGGAGACTTCATTCAACGGTCAATATATTGTTCTGAAGGAAGGCAGATACCTTGTGTTGGCGAATTTAGATGGCCGGAAACACTCTGCCGAAGGCAATTTGGCAGGGTGACCCAATTTGGATATTTGTCTAAGGAAAACTGTAGTCTAAAAAAAAGATAGTAAAATGTAAAATAAGCTCAGTTTTCTTCCTTGACTAATGGTGGTCTCCTTTGGGGCCCTGCCTGAGGGTTTGCCCAAGCTGTGTTTCTTCCCTAAACAAGGGCAGCATAAAAATAGCTGGGGGCTAATCTAAGAGATACCAGCCAGGAGTCTCAGCAGTTGTCAGGAATGAAGGGCTGCAGGCGGGTGGGGGGGGGGGGGGGGGGGGGGTGGGTGTTATCTACCCCACCAACCCCCCCACCCCAGTCCTCAACAGCAGAGCCCCAAGGGCCCATGGTATTGGTCACCTTGCATTTTCAATGGGCTACAGTGCACCAGCCCAGAATCAAATTGCAGCCCTCCCGGCCATATGCCCCTGGGCAGGGATTGCCCCTTTGTCATTTCCTCATCTGGAACATAGAGGCAGCCAAGAGCATTGACCTCTTAGGGGTGCTGGGAGATTGAAGGACAAAAGTCCCCCGAGAGCTCACACAGTGCCTCACATAGTGCCTCTCACACTGTCACTCCAATGGCCACTGCATTCGTGGCATGACCTCATTCCCCTTTCTCTTTGGGGCTTTATTTTGGGTAAATGGTGGTTAGGCGAAGAGGATGCTGGGATAGGCAAGGAATCAGGCCCAAGGATGGAGTAGAGTTTCTCAAATGGCAGGGAGCTAAGTGGGACAGAGCAGGCTGTGGCAAATTGGTCATCTTTCCCAAAACGTCAAAAAAAAAAAAAAGTGAGAAGAATTAGCTCAGTGTAAAGTGTTCTGTTTTTTATTAATATTAAATCTTTGCTCTTCTCCCCCCACAGTCTCGTTCACTGGCAAAGAATGCTCCCGGATAAAAATCCATAATGTAGCAAGTTAACTATAGTCTGGAAAATGAGGAAACGGTCAATCAGTTTTAATCCTGACAGCTTGACTGGTGTGAAAAACAAGAGGGTTCCTGACAGAAATGTTCTAGTTTCTAAGAAAGGAGTTTTTAGTGTGCAAGCGATGGCTCTGCCATTGCCACCCTCTGAATAGGTTCGCAAGCCAGTGGATTCGAGGGCCAAGGGGAGGTGCGTTGTTAGACTGGGCAAGCTCCTGGCTGCCTCCCTGAATGACCTCCACCCACTGCACCCCCAGTCCATTCCAGAGTCCTACTGGTATGTGCTTCAGCTACACTCTGTGCTGGGCACTAAGGATAGAAGCATAAGATTCCACCTGCCTTGCGGAACCCACAGCCTGTTAGAGACAGAGCTGGAGCTAGATAGTCACCCCAGAGGTGGTAAGTGTGCCCTGGGGAGCACAATGGGACAACCCCTTTAGACAGCTTAGAAGCAGCAAATAGTAGTTAAAATAAAATTAACAATGGAGCAATCATAATGAAATCCAAAATGAGGTTAGTGTATTGAGTGCCAGGCACTGTGCATTACTTCCTTTAACCCAGGAATTCTACCCATAGTTGGTTGTTACTACCACTGAGGCAGTTGAGATGCAAAAGGGTCCAGAAACACACCCAAGGTCACACAGCTAGTAACTGGTGAATCTAGGGTTCAAACCCAGACAGCTGGGCTCAAGAGTCTCTGGACTTCTCCCAACAGTAGGCATAAGAGAGGCCAACAAAGTTGTAGGGGCAGAGACCCCTCAGTACACATCCCACCCAGCAACCAAAATGATGTAAAGGAGAGGGTAGAGATGGAAGGATTTGAGGGCGCAGGGTTCGCAGATCCCTGTGTGAGGATACCTGCTGAGCCTGAGGTTGGCACTAGTGGTTCAGGAACAGGACAGTCACATAGGCAAAAGAAAGAATTGACTGGTTCACGTAATGGTATGTGGCTTTTGGCACAGCTGGATCCAGGTGCTCTACCAAAAATGTTAAGAACTCGTCTCCTTCCATCTCTTCTCTGTTTCCCACCACTTGGCTTTCTTCTGAGTGGATTCTGACCAGGTATCAAGTCTCCCCCTTCCTCCATGGGCAGCTTCAGACTTACATCCACTTAGCTTGGGATCCCTAAAGAAAGAGCCTTTCCCCTATGAGTTCCTAAATATCCCTTGGTGGGACCCTGCACTAGTCCCTGTGGTGAGAAGGCCAGGATGTCCTGATTGGAGAGGCCCGGGTCACGTGCCCAACATTGGGGGGGAGTCAGCCCCTCTTTAACCAACAGCAGAACCAAATATGGGAGGGGGTGGTTCCAGCTGCCTTTCTGCTAGCACAGTGGTGCACATGCAGTAAGCTTTATGAAGGTTGGGGTTACTTCCTTTGTAGGAGGAAGCATACTTGGGCCAGAGGATTCCCCTTTATGAAAGTATTACATATTAATTGCAGTGAAATTAGAAAACATATTTAACCCATGCAAACTCCCCCTCCCAAAGACAGGATTTATAAATCCATCTAGAGAGAATTGCTGGAAACATTTGGGAGGGCATTCTATGTCTTTTTTTCTTTCTTCTTTTGTACCTTCAACAAATACAGGATCATCTGGTATAGCCTGTTCATTTTTTTTTTTTACTTTAAAAATAATTGATGATGATATAATTTATAA